ATAGTAATTTCGATATATGTTCAAGCCTAAAACGTTTGAAAAAGCCAATAACTTCTCTTCGGTTGGTATAAAGATAAATTTTCAGATGATTTATGTAATTGAAACTTAAATGTATTATTATCAGATCAATAGCGGGTACGTCCATCGCCAATTTACGCTCTCACGCTTAACTCGCTTTTTTTAAGTGGAATATAATTTTCTAACTTATTTAGTCCTGCTTTTAATACAAGCATAATACAGAAACAATTCATCCGCAGATTAAGTCAACTTGTAGAAAGCAAGCCTAAGTTAATCTTAGTCATTGTGTTCTCATAAAAAAACATTTTATGGTATTATAATCTTTAAATTTGTTAAATTTTACCTTATGATCAAAATAATATTGTTCAAAGAGGAGGTACATGTTTCGGTCACGTATTTGCTTCATAGTATATAAAATTTGATAAATCATGTTGAGTCAAAGTAATGCATAGAGAAGCTTTGCGTTTTTTTTCGAGGTGAGACTGTATAGATTATTGTTATTAGGTGCCGTTAATCGCATACCTATAAAGGTTGGCCATCCCCGTTTTTAAGCCTAAGTGCGTGTGCACGCAATATTCATACACAATTCACATGCAGTGTTAATTATATTTTTTCCTACATTGTGGCAAACGCATGCAACGGCTTGCTTGATTTGAAGGAGAAAAGATCAGCTCATTAAAAAAATTGCGAAGGTAGTATAAATTAGTTCAGTTGGTTTTGTGTAGTCAAAGATGTTTTTATTTCAGAATAAAGTGCATGAACAGATTACTGAAGTATTGTCTATCGTTGGCTACTACATTTTCCTACCTCCCAAGCTATTTTCACATCCAATCTTGAAAAAAAGATCTTGTCTTTTGCGACTATCTCCAAAGGAACCTGTATTCGGGTATCGTAATGAGAACCGAAGCACCATTCGTGCAAACAATCAGTCAACTATTGAAACCCATGTTAATCGAAAAGAGTAGCAGCTGCTGATCACAGCGAGAATACGACATCCGCTTCAGAATTGTAACCCTTTCCTGAGCGAGACCTTTGTCATATCCCCATAATATTTTATCACAATTGTGTTCATTATAGTTAGTAGCGCTCCTTAGTGATAATTTCATTTGGCTGGAACAAACAAATTCTTGACGCAGAACTATTAGGTGCTTGCATGTATTCTGATTATTTTTTCACTTGAAAAAGAATATGTGGAGAAATATTAGTACGACATATATTATATTAATCAATATATTTTCCACCATTTACTACACATTTTTCCCATTATTCTGCTTTACTTCATCATTTTCACTTTTAAAATACACGCCAGATCCTATTACAGCTATTCAAAGCCCCAAGAAACTAGCTTTTCTTGGCTTTAGTGTGATATTTTATACAGTTGCGTGTAGCTTAAAGGCAGTATTGCAGCACCGCTTACACGCTCTTTTAGGAAATGGATCGACCAGATTTGTATTTCCGATATGGAACTATAACTGAGCCCACAGTTTTTCATAAACAATCCGTAGTAAGCTTTTTCATGAATATCTTACGTGCACAACTTTTACAGCTTGGTCATATATACGTTAAGAAAACATTAAAAACTTAAAGCCCCGCTAAACAGACGATATTAGTATCTATCATAAAACGTCTGAGTGGCCGAGTACCTAAGAGTCTCGACTAGGAGCTCAATGGTTGTGGGTTCTCAAATCTCAAGTGTGGTAGAGTTTTTAATAAAACCGAAAGCGTTAGATGCTTAGTGCTTTAAGACTTTAGTCTTAGGATTTATTCTCTGGCTAAATTTATAATAATAATAGTGTCTGTCATAAGATATTTGTTAGGCAAGTGGAAGCAATAGGGTTGCCATTCTTTTGACTTTCTTTCCAAATAAAAAAACAAATAAAAGCAAGACAGCCCCCTCGTTAAATATACATATTGCACTAATTCGTGTGACGGCTTTTCAATATAAGACCTGTGACGTGATCGAGAAAGTGATCAGATCCGATCCATTGTCAATAGTCTTCCACCTTGGACCAACGCACATCAGTCTACCATATTTCATCAACATATCTCGAAAACTGTGACCTGTAGTTTCAACATAAAAAAACAATCCATACAAAATGATTCAGCAATTCGTTGTTATTAGTGCTCAAAAATTCATACAATCCCAGTGAAGACTAAAGGCTTCGCATTGTCAAGCTTCTTCAATACTTGTATTAATTTCACATATCTCGTAAAAATGTCGACAAATAAATATCAGTAATTTTCCGCAAGAATTTTTAAAAATTTTTTTTACGATCCTCTCAAAATAATACAATGACATGTCGGATTTTCGACTTTCAAGCGATGAACATCGTTCATATTTTGTCTATTCAATCCAAGCTCATATACATTTATGTTTGGGATTAAGTAACGTTATCGTCAATATTAGACTCAAAATTGTTTTGATCGTTTATTATTTAGTTCAATTATTCAAGTATTCAAGTGAAATATTTTGAAATGTTTAAAACTCATGATTTTCCTTCATTCATAAACAGAGAAATGGTAGAAAGAAAGAAAACATTCATAACTTACCCTGCGAGACATGCAAACAAACATCTTTTATTGCAATAATAAGCGGGAGCTTAGCATACACGTCACTTCGCTTAATTTGATTTTTGACCACACCCACTAGCACATTATACGTTTGATGTATATATATATATGTATGCAATTGTATGCACAATCAATCTAACGATTATTATCGTGACACCTTGTTTGAACCGCTGGCAAACTAGATTTCCTTTTTAATTGTCCATTATTGTTATTGTTTGAAATAATTTATATAAAAACAGTGATAGAGGTTGAGGTCTTTTCAATTACACCTGCCTAAAGGCATGTACACTTACACTTTTACAAGTCAGCACATATACGTCTGTAAATAAGTATTTAGCTAACTTCTCTTTTGTTATTTGGTTCTTATTATGTCTCCCGTTATATGAAGAGGATAAACTAAATTCAACAATTTGTTTGTAAGTCATTTCAGAGAACCAATTCACATACACATGTGTTCTGATGATTAATCTAGGGTTCTGTTTGTCCCTCTGTCCTTTATTAGAACTTTCACAGTAGAGAAATTGAAACAGGGAACTTGCTTACACAAATCTTCTCAGATTGGGTGTAATTTTCCAATAAACTTAAATAAGAAAGAAAAGAAAATACTAAGGTTAATCTCAATAACTTACAGGTTATAGCAAACGTGGTCATAAAAATATTTTACGCAGATAAGAGAATTCATACGCATTTGAAAGAAAAGGCCTCGTAAGCAGATATTGCTTCCGAAGTGCATACGGTTGACTTACACGTTATAAGCATTAGAAAAGATTTGTCGGTCTAGTTATAACGCCAGGACATACTTAACGGGGAGAGTTATTTTTGAATCGACTTGAACACGTTTGCTCGCTCTGGCCATCTGTGGTTTGTTACTTGAATGTAGGTGGTCGGAAATCTTCCAACAAAGAGGCCGAAAGTCGTAGTTGTTGGGCGTAGAGCAACTTTGGAAGTGAACTCAATCTTTCAATTTAATCTATTGACATGAAACTTGATATATTGATCAACCAAGTTACATGCATAGAATTGAAAAAATATGCAGAACATTTTGTTCTCGCCGACGCAGGAAAGGTGTATATTAACATTTCTTCTGTCGGCTTGGAACACCCGCAAGACATAGGTCTCCTAAGACTTGCATTTATATATTCTACTCAGCTTGAATCTCTAGATCAAGTTAAAAGTATTCGCCCTCTCTTTGTGCTCTGTTGAGCCTTTCAGACCTTCAGTCGTTCAGAACCTTTTTATGTATAGTATTTTTTATTTTTTTTTTTTTTGCTGATCATGAATTACGTACGAAAATGGACGTTCCCGGCCTATAAATATGCCGAGCCTAATTAATATGTTATAATGTATAAACTTTAGCAGTATAGAAAGAAATTGCCGATCGGCTAATGATATATGTTGCAAGTTTTGTTTATTGGGTATATAAGAGTCGCCTTAAAGTGAAGAAAATCTTCCTTCCTGTATTTACAAGTAACAAAGTTACATAATATAGAATTCCTTCAATATTATAACAGTTTAAATAGCCTATATGACTGACTTCCGTTGTATATACTGATTAGTCTGTGATTTATTTCTCTCCCTCTCTTTCTCACTTCTTATTAAATTATACTATAGGTACGTCACTTTTTACAAGGTTTTTGGTATGCAAATGACCTCTGGCTTATTGACATTTGTTAACGTTTATTGTCATAAGTGATTCAATTCAAAAGCAATGCATAAATTGTAAATAAGACCTTTGAAGGTTCATTTATAATGCAAAGACAAACATTATTAAAGGAATAATTGTTTTTATATTATTTTCTTAAATGAAAAGCGTGAAAAGCCTGCATTTGCTTTAGACCATGGGTAGATTGGTATCCATACGTTTGAGTTTAACTATCTTATATTCGTATAGAGCATATAGAGTGAAGATATAGTAAAATATATCGGTGCGTTTTCCCCTTCGACTGTTTGTTAGCGTGGAAGATTGATTTATAGCATATACTCCCTAATTAGGTCCGCAAATATGTCAAATACGAAAATAAATAAAGTTTTCTCACCATAGTTCAAACCCTAAATTTTAAAAAATATATCACAGCTTCTTATAATATCTCCTTAACAGTAATAGAAAATGTCTTGCTGACGTTTCATTTTAATTTCTATGTATCCGTTGATCTGTGTCTGTCAAAAAATAAACTGGGAACAACACCAAAATAAAATGTGACCTCCGTAAGAAGAGGATCTGAATTTTTTTTTCTCGTATACAGAGACTATGACCTCGCTCATCATAGAGTGTCTACAGGATTTCCAGTAAATTTTCAAAAATCTAGCCCAACTCAAAGATAGACATAGTCTGTATGAAAATGATCTTAGGCTACACTTAAGCGGGTAATAACATTTTTATATTGTTTTTCTCCTTTATTCGTAATTTATAGTCAAGAATATTTAGAAAATAAAAGCGCATCCGATCCCATTGTTGATGACGTCGAATCGCAAAAAGGTTGTTGTCGTTGCTGTTCGCGAATTTGCATGCCATGTCGTCGATCACACTGCTCACGCTGTTGCCGACGGGACCAAAAGGCATCTTCAACACCTACTGCAGATGAGGGCGACCAACAACCGGTTTTATCGGCCACTAGTAGTGCCACTACTACGAATTTGGAAGTAATTAATGAGAAATCTAGAAATATAGAGACGAACAAAAAAACAAGCTGTTGGCAAAAATTGAATTGTTGCAGAAGTTGTCAGAAACAATCGCCAGATATGTTCGATAGTAGCCAAAGGCCCGCACCTACAATGGTCCCACCCAAGCAAAGTAAATGCGGTTTGTGTTTAAGCAAAATATTCTGTTGTCGTTCGGTGAACAAAATCGATCCGACAACCGGTGACGAAACTGTAGTAAAAAAATGTTGTTTTTGTATACCATGTCGTAAGAAACGTGAAACGAGTAATTTGCGAGGCAGTTCGTTAAGCGGAGTAGCGTGGCAGGATCCCGAAATAGGTGGAGTATCTGCACAACCAGCCGAATTAGATGCGCAAGAAGGATTGGAACAAAAGGAGTGAGTCGAAGAAAAAGAAAAATCCCAAAATCCTATCTAAAACCTCGCTTCTTTCGTTCTAGGGGCTGCTGTAAACGGTTTTGCAATTTTCTGTTATGTTGTCGGAAAAGCAAAGTAGCGGCTGGAGAAGGACGCAGGGCCAGTATTAAGCAACCCCCAGTAGAGGTAAAATATTTGAAAAGTATATGGTGCGGAGTAGGGCTTTTTCAATCCTGATATTATTTTTTAGGATACACGTAATCGTTTACATGTGGATTTGGTAGAATATAATTCCAAAATGAAAGGCGCTATACCGATATTACCTTTATATTTAGCTTGGTTTTGTGCTATATGCAATGTTTTAATACCGGGATTGGGTAAGAAGTTTATAGCTTTCAAAAAATTTGATATTTTACAAGTTGTCAAAAGTCGGAAAAAGTGTCTTATTATAAAGAAATTCATGAAATTTTTTAAGGTACTCTGCTGAGCGGTTTCTTTTGCATTTGTGTGGGTATACCGCGATTTTCGCAATTCGATAGCGCCAAGGCTCGTGTGGGATCACTGATTATCAATATTATTGTAGCGACTGCGCAATTGTTTTGCGTTCTCTTTTGTTTTGTGGGCTGGGGCTGGTCCATATGGTGGGCTTCGATTATGTTAAAAGTTGCAAGTACGTGCAGCTGTTTCAAGACTTTTAAAATATTTATAATTATTTTATGTTGTTGTTAGAAAAACTTAATAAGATACGTAAAGTTGAACGCATGGAAATGGAAGAAGAAAAACGTCAAGCTGAAGCAGCAGCAGCAGCCGCAGCAACAGCCGCTGCAACGAAAGCTGCTAACCCGACGGAAACAGAAGCGAGTAAAGCTTAAATGGTAAAATAATCTAAGCAAATTTGTCCACTTCCGAATAAAGAAGAAGCCTTCCGTCAGAATGTGCATACATACATACATATATATATATATATATATATATATATATATATCAGAATGTATATTTATATATTTATACAATAAAATAAATCATTCTAAATATCAGTTTTCCAATTTTAAAATATATCCGATTACTTCCTTAGCAAAGTAAAGGGCTTTAAACTCTGACCATAAAAATTATTAAAATACATTTTTTGTTATATTAAAGAGGATAGAGTTTTTATAGCTAATGTCCTTATGTTAAATATTTATATTTAAATTTATAATTATCATTAATGCAATTAAGGTGCACTTAAGCTTTAAGCTGAAAATCAAAAGTATTCCTATTAAAACCTATGCGAAGAAATATGGAATAAAGATGGAAGTAGACTTACATAATTATGTTGATAAGTGAATAAAGACAAAAAAAAAATTGTTTTTTTTTTTTAAATCTTTTACATTTTAAACATAACTAATATGCTTTACTCTACATTAGATCCCTTTATACAATCTCTATTAAACGGCCTTATATCATTTCCATTCAGAATATTTGTTATTAGTCTTTAAGTATTTTACTTATGATCATCTTCTCTATTTTTAAAATTTTTTATGTACAATATATGTACCATATATGTAAGTAGTTAGTTGTTTATGTACATAAATAACTTTAGATAAGCTATTAAATTTTTTAAAAATTATTAAAAACAAATTCAATAAAAAATGTTTTTAATACGAAACTAAAGAAAATCAAGTAAGAAGATTATATTCGGTTATACCCGAATTTCGTACACTTATCCCTATCAAAATTTTATTCTGATCACTTTCATAATGAATTAACCTAAAAGGTTATGGTTTTTTTTAGGATTATAACGCCCAAGCAGTAGAATTTTCTAGACGCCACAAGTGTAATAAACGTCCAGTGGGATTAATTCAGAATTAGCGCACTTAGCTTGTCGCGTTCTAGTCTCTAAGCCCTTTTTTTTGTTACCCATATCGTTGACAATGTTAAGAAGAAATTAATCCACTACGTCGTGGTACCCGTCTCATTTATTTTAGAAGTAACGCAGTTTTAGGCAGATAGCACATCAACATTAGAGGAATGTACAGAATAGTTTTAAACAATTCTGTCCTTTTATTTATCTTATCATCAATAAGCATAAAACCTCGAAAAAGTGTAATAAAAAAAAGAAAATTTAATCACTTATAACTTTGTTGAGACAACAACACACGCTGCACAAACGGACAGACGGACCTATTTGGTTAATCATAAATATATATATTTGTATTAGGGTCTCTGATTCCAAAGAATATGACAAAATGGGTATGCTCCCGTCCTTCGGTGGTGGGCATAACAATGTTATACCATTTTATACAAAACATAAAGCATACGATAAAAAGAAAAGCTTATTGAAGCATAACACCTTTATAATAAAAGGGTAGTATCTACAGGGTTATATTTACTCATACCGCTTGTAGGCAAATTGCAGTGACATAAAGCGTCCTTTTATGCGCAGGTAAGTATTTAGCGAATTACGCTTGCTGGGAAGATTGTTTGTTTACAGCTAGAAAGTAGTTCACTTTCTAGAGTGTGATTAAGAAAGAATCAGGCTCGCTGAAAAACTGCTAGACAGTACTACTTTTACTATGACCTTAAACTTGGCTTTGAAAGTTAAAATTATTTTTAAATAGATTGCTCATAGTATTTTCCACAAATAAGGGAGAGACTACGTACGTGGTTTCTAACCTTTGCGACCATCGTTTTGGAGATATCACCTACGCTTCAAGGAATTTATAAAATGATTTTATTTTAATGATACTTTTATTTTTCTTTTAGGTAATTCAGGATCTTTGCTTTATCTTCAAACCGCGCGCACTCTATTTTGCTATACATGATGGGATATATAATGTGATAACATTGCTTTTAGTGGGCAATGTGAAGGAACTAATTCCAAATGTAATATCATTTTTCCTAAATTTTCGATTTAATCGAATTAAAAATAATTATATATTATTGTACTCACTTGTGTTTGGTTTGCCTAGGCAATGTTTTTCGTATTGTGCACAAATCCGTATTAAATAAACGTAGTACACACGCATGAACCCAAAATCACCAAGATAAAATGAATAGTTAATTAAAATTACTCTACTACCGACGATTAAAGTTTTATTAACATTCTGTTGAATTTCTCTTTCGAATTTTTTGATATAAAATTTTTAATCTCAATGCGAATCGAGATCCATGAAAACCCTGAGCTACGTATATTTATAATGATTTTAAAATCTTAGGAATGTGTGGCTATAAAACACGAAACACGAGCTACACTTTCCTTATATAATAACAATGTCTCTTATCTCGTGAAAATTCTGCATGACTTAAGACCGCGTTCATTCATGATATTATTCAGCTCAAATAAGACTGCAATAGTTCCTATTTTCAAAGGTGTTCCTTTTTTCAACCAAATCGTTGGAGCACTGCCAGCTACGAAAACGAAATGAGTTCATTTTAATTGAATGTAAAATCAAAGATCAATGATTAATGAAAACTAACAATATTCACATATGTTTGTATGCATGTAGGGTTTCTATTGAATCTATATTAGGTATGCCCAGTATTGAAACGATGAGCATGCTCTTTTCCTAATGCATCCAAACAATACAATAACAAAAACATAACTAGATTAATTTTAACATTAGTATTAACAGAATTTGCTATAATAATTTGGTTGCTTTTGTCCTCTCTGTTTAAGGAAACATTTTTTTCCCTTATAGCAAATCAATATGTCGAACAGATTCTCTATTGCTGTTCATTCTCTGTAATGTTGTAACGTATACAAAATGTACAAAAAACAAACAAATGCTATATATTTTACGCAAAGGAAAAAAGTGAAAATTAAATTAGTTCCAAGAATAAATATTAAAAATAAATCTCATTTAAATACTGGTTTTTTAACGTTTCGTCCCGAAGATACGGCCTTACGACCTTAAAAGACGAACCGGGGACGGGAAGTCCTTCCGACCTTGACGAGAACCTTTTAAACACAATATTGGAGCAAAATAAATGCCTGATAAAAAAACGGAAGTTACTTACGATTCGACTTAATACAATCCGAAGTAAGTTAATTTCTATTAAGAAATACAGGCAAACGGGTGCAAATTTCGAAAATAAGAGGCTAATAACAACTAATAAAAAATGTGAATAATTAATAAGACTTTTAATAAATTAACAAATCCTTCCCGTCTATCGACGTTTGAGAACTGAAAAAATACTGCTCTCGCGTTGAGTAAATAATTTTGTATTTGTGCGTGCTTGATATAGAATAAGGAGTTATTATATCAAAAAGTTTCTTAAAATTGCTTCTTTATCCCAAACACATTCAACAATAGCCGTGCAGAACTTTAATGCAAGTCCTTTAATAATTTTTTTTTTTTGAGAAAATTGAAGGAGACAATAATCTTTTGCAGTTTTTGAGTTTGAACCTATTGAAAACTTGAAATGTAAAAATTCAAGATCTAATTTCTTGCTCTTAGCAAGTTTTTCTAATTCCAATTGCGAAGCGTCGGATTAAATCGTGCCCGCTCTTCATAAATTAATAGCACATGTAAAGCATTGACTACTCGGAAATAATAACAATATTTAGCGTTATCAAGAAATACGAAGCGTGCAAAAATAACAAGTAACCCGTTTATTAAGTATATATACATATACCGCAATACCGCCTTTTATCATGTTAATAAGATGAGCATTTCGTTTTTGCCCACTAGTTTGGTTCCCAACAAATTTTTCTCTTGCATTCTTGCAAATTTAACATCAATACGTTTTGGCTTTTTAAAGAAGATTGTAAATAAACCTGTACTGCAAGTAACAGAAAAACAAGAAGAAGAGTCAGTTTTAAACGACACAATAACGCTACTGCAGCTAAAGGAAATAGAAGAGAGCCACTTGTAGTGTAGAAAAGAAAATAGTTAACAGTGAAAAAAGAGAAAATTATTTAAATATATATTTATATTTTCTCTTAATATAATAGAATGGTTATTTACGCAAAGATATATGTAAAAAAAAAAGAGAAATCGATGTTTTACTCTTGCGAATCTTAAGCTCTTCGCGACATTGCTCGTTTTAATTCTATTTCTAATACCGTAGTCCGTTTACGTAAATTGATATGCTCGAGCAAGAGAGAAAAATGAAATAATTAAAACATATCAGATAAATTTTATAAAGAAATTTTAAAAATTATATAAATCTAAAAAAAGAAAAATTAAGAACAAAGTTTTTCGGTTTTCACAATCATATCCGCTTTCGTCAATTAAACCGCATTTTTCTCTATCTTCTTATTGGAAGCAACGTATAAAAGCCTTTTAAAGTAATTGGTATTTTTTACGAAATAAGAAATAAATCTTCATCAAAAGAAGAACGTTCTGTTAACTGTTCATGTTTTATGTCCTGTAAAAAACAAATTTGGTTGCCAAGGTTGGTTCTCTAACGATCCAAAGGTTTCAGGATATTTCCTGACCTTCCATTGTCAAACGAACTTATGCGCAGTTATTTAGGAAAATCATTCATTTGTGTAATCGCTCAGATTAATTACTTATTCCTTAATTCCAATTTTTGTTACTCCTTCGGGTAGATTCGTCACTGGCCATACGAATAAATATCGATTATCAGTTTAGTACATTCAAAAAATTTACTAATGAGTCATATAAAAAGGCTTTGGGGTATTTTCCATGATTTCAAGCTTCTTTTTGTAGTTTGCTCTTTTTAAAAAATTCCAAACTGTCACGTGGTTTATGCTTAGTGCCTCACCTATTCCTGTTTCCTGTTTACGAGTCAGTCTTGCTCCACCAGTTGCAAAATTTCATCGGCTTTTTCCATCCGAGTGAGTATCTTTGACTTTAAAATTTCCGGAACGCAATCGAGCAAAACACTTCTGGGTCATTCGTTCACTCATAGCATTCTTACCATAACACCTCACAAATTTTTCCGCATGTTTTCCCTTTTTTATGGTAAAGAAGCATCACATAGCGTATTTCTTCAGATATTTCACTCATTTTCAAATCAATGCAAGTTTTTACACGAGCAAAGAACTAAAAAACTATCTTCAGAGAAAATGTAAACTGAAATGTCACCTTTTAAGCACATGTTCGTTTGAGACAATCAGAAGAGAAGAGAGAGAGAGAAAGAGAAGAGTATTGCCCAATATATGGGCATTATTACCATCCCGCAAAAAAACCGCAAAGAATTTATATGACCTAATATTATATCGAACACTTTGAGCCATAAAATATAAGTCAATTATTCCAGTTTACTTCTAGCACTTCTTCTTTAGTCTGTAATTTCCAATCATTTGGCTAACGATCATTCACTCTTTTGATGGATCGAAAAGCCCAGTGCCGAAATGAGGAAAGATTTTGCTCTTCACAATGCAAGTCTGTAAAGACGGCTCTATAGTGTTTCATTTACAATATTTTATTTGCAATTTTTCGAAAGAAAGCAACAGGCGATTAACTCTTCTTAACTATAAATAATTTTGAAAAAATCTGCACTTATTTTTATTAATAGTATGTATATTTGATATTATCTTTGCAAACCCATATTTCTTTTTAATAAAAATCTTTAAAGCAAATAGCTCGGTTCATTCTTATTTTATTTACGGACTTAATGGTTTCCTACTAAAGTTACTAAAGTTTACCTACGATTCACTTATTTGGCTTACGTTTAACAAAAAAAAGGGAGTAATTGGTATTGGCTTTGTTGCTATCACATCAATGCTTTGGATACTAATCTAAATCATTTAAACTTGCATTTACAGTACAGTACGCATTTTTACACCCACCAGTGTAGAATGTTGTACTGTGGTGTACTGATTTTGCTCTTTTGCATAGTGCCTGCAACAATCCAAAAGGAAGGAAGCTTCAGAGGCCCTATAAGTGTATAAATTCTTAGTGAGCCTGATATTCTGAATTAATTAAGCCTTGTCTCTTGCTTGCAAAAATAAAGATTTTCACTTCATGTTTAGTAAGCACATTGAGAGTTTATGAAAATTAGCCATATTGGTCAGAGCAGAAGCCCGTAGTGGAGCATAAATTGAGTGCAACTCCTTTTTTTTTTTTTTTAAATTTCTGGGTTTTTGCTCTTTACTCAGAAATTATAATAATTAGAAGGCTAAAATTTCCCGAATTTACTTTGCGGAAAATTCTACTGTTTATGTGCAAAAATGGAAAATATCGGCCATGCCCACACAAACTTAACACATGATTACATTTAATTTTTTTCGCTTTTTTGAAACTTTACACTTATTCATCATAAGGCAAACAAGACAGACTGTGTCGTACATTCCTCAACTGAAAACATATTATCTGCCTAAAAGTGGATTAATGCTAAAAGAACATGATACACAGCGTGACCTGATGGTTGAATTTTTTCGGAATAATGTCAGCGATATGGCTGTCAAATAAAAGAACTTAAAGAATAGAATGCGAAAAGCATAGTGGTGAGTATGTGAGGTTCGGCCCCCGCAGTATGTAACTTTCTTATTTATAGTCCATTCGGTTTGACAGTTTTTAGCGAAGTACCATTTATATGAACTTGCATTGGTACTAACGTGGTTTCTAATTTTGAGGAAAAATTAACATTACAAAAAAAAAAAAAAAAAAAAAAAAAAAAAAAAAAAAAAA